GTGTTAATGAATCTATGAATGTCTTTTTTTTTCTTATTTCTTTTTTTAAAACAGACTCCAAACTGATCCTTCCATGTAAAGTATTTATTGGACCAAGTAAACATTTTCACACGGCTGTGATGTGGCTAGCAAATGACACTTACATTGATATAATTTACAAAGAGGGCAGAGTTACAGAGGGAGAGCGTCTGTAAGTATTAAAGAAATGTCACACTCTTTATTTAGGTGTTTTCCAGAAATGTGAGAGAGTGATTCCATGCTATGAATGCCAAGGAGTGAAGTGGGAAATGTTCTACTGAAAACGGCAGAGGAAAAAAAAAAACCACCACCAAATTTAACTAAATCAAAAACACCACAACTATTAGTTTCTGCATAAAATCCATGAGTTTATGCAACTTCATTATTTAAGCCCTGATCTTACAAACGTACAAGCAAAGCGCGTAACTTTTTGACACACCTAGTCCAATTGACTCCAGTGAAACTTCACATCCATAAAGTTATTCACCTGCCCAAATAATCAAGCCTTTATAACAATGGCTGTGTGACAGAAAATGAGTTAAGGGAGAGGTGGGATTTCTATAGGCTTTAAAAGAAAATTGTGGCTATGGTATCATGTTAATATTGTATGAGTTTGAGATGATTATGACAGGAAAAGGGGTCATTCTAGCAGGGAGTGAAGTTCATTGGCGTGGAACGGGTCAGCACAAAGTTTATGTATCTCTTATATCCTTCTTAACACCTCAAAATTGACAATTAAGTGGGATTTTAGTGGCAAATACACCTCTTTACAGAGGTGAATTTCCTTCAGAAATAGGGGTATAAGCAGTCTGGCCTAGTGGTCACAGCTGGACTGGTGTCCAAGAATTGATAGCAGGACTGGGTCCTCCTCAATTACTATCCCAGTGACACCAAGAGCTAGGCTATGTCTACACCAGTGTTTCTCAACCTTTTTTTTTTTTTAATAAAGTACCCCCTTTAAAAATATATATATATAAGTACCTACAGTACCCAGACACACAATCTTTTTTCTACCATTGCAACACATTTGTTTAACAACTGAATCATAGCTGGATGGGCGGTGAAATTTTTGGGTGTAAAAAGTACAAAAATAATAAAGTGCTGTAAAACTTAAAACAAAAATTCAGTTTTCTCCAAATTTCAGTTGTGTTGAAGTACCCCCCAGACTTCTCTCGAGTACCCCTAAGGGTACTTGTACCACTAGTTGAGAAACACTGGTCTACAATACAAAGAAAAGTCGGAAAAAGATACGCAAATTGCAAACCACATATCGTTTTCCGCTTTTCTTCCAAAAGAGGCTTTTCCAACATTTGGCTTGTCTACACAGGGTCAAATGTTGGAAGAAAACTCTTTCAGAATATCCCTTCTTCCTTATAAAATAAGGTTTACAGGGATGCCGACAAAACGCGTCTGCTTTTCCGACACTTTTTTTGGAAAAGCGGACGCATTCCTTGGACACAGCAAAGCTTTTCCGGAGTACTTTCAGTGTCTCGGAAAAGCTCTATAGTCTAGATATACCCTTAAGTCTCAGAAATTCGGTCTGTGATGTCAAATATGAGAATGACCTGCAGAGGAAAACCAGCTGTTTTGCTATTTTTATAATGCACAGAGAAGATCTGAAAGCCTTTTAAAAATATCCTGCTTGTGTTTAGTTTAATAAGAAATTCAGATTTTTATCTATCCTGTTTTTCCTAGAAGACTTTATACATGGAAAAAAGAGGTAGAAAGTACTGAAATATCAGACCACTAAACAACCAGACTAAACAAAATGGATGCCATGAATGCACTGTAATGTGAGCAGTGTGGTTTATAATGGATCCCATAGTGACTTTGGAAATAAATCAATATTCAAAAGATTTTTCCAGACTTGTAATATTACATTCAGATAACTGAATGCATCAAAATCACAGAAATTATTATATTCTAGAAAAATCAGGAATAAAAGAATGATACTTGCGTTGTTTTTGTTGCAGGGAAATGATAGAAAATGATGAGAACTACATTGAGGTGCCACTGATTTTTGATCCAGTCAAAGAAATAGATTTTTATACAGATCTTAAATGTGAAGCCCAGAATAGTTACGGACGCCAAGTACTGCCAACACGGGTCAAGCAAGGAGGTATTTATCTTAACTGCATGCTAGATGGGAAAGCACACTGTATTTGTTACTGTCTGTGAAATCCAACTAAGCCACACCTACGGCTGTGTTTGAGTTATTGCTCAGCACATAATGGCTTCCTCATTTACCATGTGCTCGCTGCTCTGGACAGTGTTTTGGTGTATCTCTAGCATGAAAGGCATGGCCACTGTTTGTATAAAAACTGCCTCCACAAGATTTCAGTGACATTCTGCCCAGGTTTAATAGTGTGCATGCGAGAGATCCCGTTGCTGGATAGATCCTAAGTTTTTTAAAGATAAATGAAGACAATGACAAACTCCCATTTACTTCAGAAAGCCAGGATTTCACTCAGTGCCTCAAATAAGCAGAATGGCAGAATTGGTGGATACCCTTAATGTCCCTTTGTCACACACAGAGTGGCTCTGAAATAACAAATGGTGAGAATTACTACTGGCTTCATGATTGTGGTTTAAGTTTCTGTGGAGGCTAGCTCTTAGTGCAACTGTGTTGTGATGTCAAAGACTATGAGACATATGACGAAGAAACAGTTATGAAAACAGTATGATATAATACTGATTTTTTTTGGTACATGATGTTGGTGAGTGACTAAAGCTTGCTCACTTGGCACAGAAAAGGCATAGTAACATTTACCACTTTCATCATAGTTGCAACTCACTCATGTCTACTGTGATTTGGTTGTTTTGTTATACTACTCACAGCTTCCATGAGTTATTTAGGTACCTAGGTATTACAAATGTGAAGTAAATTACATGGATGGAGACAGATCTTTCTGCTAGTTTTTGGCTCCTATGTGAATAAATGGCATAATCCCAAAGGAGCTGCATTATAGTTTTCCATTGGAAAATATTTATTCTTGGAAATCAGCCCAACTTACTTTAGTACAAATTTCAGCTTCACTCACTTTGGTTCATAGTCATTTAAGATTCTCATCCTGCATTCCTCATTCTACACTATTCTTTCCCTTCTTATCCAAGAGGTAAACCTCATTAAAACCAACGGGAATATTCATGTGAGAAAGGGTTGTAGGATCAGACACTGATTTTCTTGGGAGGCTTTTCTGAATTCATGCAATTGTATTTTTAAGAAATAGATAACATTTTTCTCTGGATTTTTACAGCATCCAGTTCCCTGTGGCACATTGCAATAATTCCAGTCGCCCTGACCTGCTTGATTTTGGGGGGATTATGCATGCACAAATGCTGGAAGTGGAAAGCTGATAATGGATATGTTATTGCCAAATTGTAACTGGGCAAACCTGCTTTAGTCTTCACCAATCCACTGAGAAGTTTTCATCCAGCTTATACCGTTAATGAAAAAAAGGCAAAATAACTCAAGTCCATTGGATTATTTTCTAAGAAGGTGGATACTAGTTACTTTCTCTCTTCTGAGTTTGTGTGATTTGGTTAAACTGTAAATGTGGTGGGTTTTTTGTATAAACAAATATGTACAGAAAAAAAGGTGCGCTGTTATTCTGTGGTTGGAGAGCTTTTTGTAACGTCATGAATGTGTCTGTGTATCTCTGGTCTGTCTCCTGGTTATGTGAGGAGGAAGAGGAAAGGAGTTGTTCCTAGTCCTTGTAACAACTATTATCTTATCATTAAGGAAATAATAATAAAAATAACTTAAGCATGCTAGTTCCCAGAAGAACAGTTCCAGCAATGGAAAAGGTATTATTTGTTTGCATGGCTTACCCTTATCTTCTCTCAAACTGAAAAAGCACAAGATTTATTTCAACTGTCAAATACAGTCATCATGACAAGAGGAATTATTTTCGTGTCTGCTTATTCTGCTTGTCCACAGAAATCTTGGGTTTTGTTGGTTCATGTTCTGCTTGGGATATTATTTTCTTATGTGTGTGTTCCAACAGAAACAAAGAACTCTACATCAGTGTAATAGATGCAGTAAATATGGTGGAGAATTCCATTTTATTTAGGCAGCAGAAGCCGGGTAGCTAGAGATTCATAGACAAATATATCATGTTTTTTTATCTTTGCTATGAAAACATTTTGGAGAACTAGTGTACTCTTGGCACTGTAAATGAATTTTCCATAAATCATTTGACTAATTCTTGCTTTGGTTCCTGGAAGTGATTTGACAACACACCAGTAAAAATACTGGAATCTTTCTTAAAGCATCTACCAATTTCATGTATCACTGTTACATATCATGGGCTTGATTCATCAGTGCAAATCATGAATTACTTGACTAAAATCAATGAAATTGCACAAGTGTAAAACTGCTGTGAGATCAGTATTAAGATCAATGTGTTGTACTTTAAACTATACAAAGGGTCAAATCAAATACCCAAGGAACAAATCACAGCCCTGTGGGACCAATTAGATGAATCTAATGCTATTCCATTGTTGACACAGATTAGAGCGAGACAAACATTGAATAAATATATATTTTGCATAAAGCATTATCCAGTTATGCATATTCATATTTATAAGCATATTTTCATAGCACCTAGGGAGAGCTTCGTCACAGTGACCATACAACGGATGTCTTGGATCCTTCACCTGTGTTTGTGACTATTAGTTTATGAAGGCTTCCCACCTCACTGACAGTGGAGCAACCTTCTGAGACAGCATAACCATACTTTGGAATTTTGTTTCAAAGTAACTGTGATGACCCTACAAGACTGGCTGAGTTCAGTATCAGATTTGTGTGTGGCTTGAATATGACCAGACTGTGCCACCGTGCTCCAGAGCTGAGTAACATAGAAATAAATAGCAGTTCCCCCTTCCCCCTCCCCCATGCTCAGTCAGTAGGACAGCAGGTTCTAGACTGACCCCCCTGCTTATCATAGAATCATAGAACTGGAAGAGACCTCAGAAGGTCATCAAGTCCAGCCCCCTGCTCTAGGCAGGATTATTGGGGGAGGGGACTTCCCCTGCTTGCCTCCTTCATCCCTCATGTACACTCCCACCACTGAAGGAGCTGGCCCTGGGAGCCCAACAGCTTGGCTAACTTTTTTCCTTCTCATACCCTCACATTTCCTTGTTCTACTTGCGGCTGGAGATGAATGTGCCAAAACACCACAAGAGAGGATGGTTTTGCAGCATGGCCTATCCTCTCCCACAGCCAGATGCATTTTCAGTCTTGTGGATCTGCTCGTGACATTTCCAGCTCAGCTTTGCAGGCTAGATAAACATATTCAGTGTTCCATGTGCTTACTTCAGCTGAGGCTTTGTATATTTTGCCAATACCCACCATTAGTCTCAGTGCACCTCAGCCCTGAATTATGGGAAAAAACAACCTATATCTGGATTTACATTCCGACAGGAAGAAGAATAAAATACCACAGAGAGATATGTTTGCATCATAGGCTCACATTTTGAATGTTGTATATCCACTCTCTTGTCACTTTGGCTACTATAGAACCATAACACTGAATGTCCTTATTTTTCTGTATTCAAAAGTCGTGAAGTCAAAATGGTGCTACCTTATTAAAGAGGCCTGCAGGTACTAGGGATGTTAAATACAGGTTAATCGAATAGTTGAGTAACCTCATTAATTCTTATTGGTTAGTCGACTATTCTATAGTACCCGGGGGCGGGGCCAGCAGCAGCACGAGATGCCAGGTGGGAGCTAGTCTGCAAGGGGAGCCAGTTTAAAACCAGCTTCTCTTGCAGACTGGTGGCTTGTCGCCTTGTACTGCTGATAAAGAGGCAGCAGTGTGAGGTGGTAGCAGCCCCTGTCTGAGGGGGTGGGTGGCGGTCTGAGCTCCCAGACCCAGTGTGAACCAGAACTGAGCTGGGCTGCCTGCCCACCTGGCTCCCAATACACTTTAAATGCAGAGCCGCACAGGGGGAAGGTCCTGGACCTGGCATGAGACAGAACTGAGCTGGGCTGCTGGCCAGCCTGCTAAAAAATGTACTGGTCATGGGGAGGGGAGAGGGAAATGCATATAGTCTATTGCAGGGCTACTCAACTTTGGAAGCCCCAAGGGCCACAATGATACTCATGGCACATTCCAAGGGCTGCAACTTAAGTGTGGTTGCATATACATGCAAATATATATAAATGCAAATAGCTTCTTTCACACTGACGGGCATGAATACAAAGCACTTCCCACAATGCCCTGGTGCTCCTGGCACTTCCTACACAACACACAGGCCCATTTAAGTCAGTTCTGCTGATATTAATAAAATGGAATAGCTACCCGATTTCCACCCATATGACAGCACTTTTAATGAGCAATGACAGTCCAGGAATTTAACTGCTAAAATGCATATCAACAGGAGACCATTCTATTGACTACGTTTTTGTTTTGCCTCCCACCTGCGGGCCACAGGTTGAGCCCCGCGTAAATCCAAACCGCACTGCGGGGCGCAAACAAACAGGCCGCGGGGTGCATGTTGAGTAGCTCTGGTATATAGTGCTAACCTATACGCTTTTGCTTATTGGTTGATTGACTACACTATTACATCCCTAGCTGGTACTGTGTCATCTATTGCACGAGGCCAGCATAGTTCACCTGTGACTCTTCAGCTCACTGAGATGCAAAATGGTAATTGTACTTGCCTGGCATAACACCGGGGTAAGTTTCCAAAGCACTGAGTGTGAAGGACTTTGACTAGAATGTGCTGCAGTCCAGGTCAGGGTAACAGCTTGCCAGGAGGTTCTTGCAGTGCACCTCAGGATTCAGCCTCAGATGGGTGCTGCACTCTTCAAAAAAAAAATGCAAATATATTTTGGTGAATATACGTTGCCAATATACGTTGGCAAATATATTGGTGAATATACGTGACAGGTGGTTAGGTTTAAAAAAAAAATAGCTTTTCTGTGTGTCACTATATTTTTAGCCTTAAATGCCCATAGAATCTATACACAAGTCTGTGCGTTAATAAGCAAACTCTTTTGTAAGATCAACCACAAAGAACACAAATAGCTCAAAAGTTAGAGCACCCTTTTAATACACATGCAGCGTAACTCACTGGGCGTCCCTCCTTGAGCACCACTTCTAAAACGAGCTGTTCAATGTACAGTAAACTTCTGATAATCCGGCACCTTTAGGACCCACGGAGTGCCGGATTATCAGATATGCCGGAGTACCGGAAGGGGAGCTATGAGGTGCCTGGGATGGGGTTGGCGGGGAACTGCGCAGCATGGGTGAGGGCGGCGCTGCGGGACCCCAGCTGCTCTGCCCCCGGCTCCTCCAAGTCAGCTGCTGGTCAGCAGCGGCGGACTTGGGGAAGCTGGGGGCAGAGCAGCTCCAATTGTCCGGTTGGCCACCGCTTCCGGGTTCCAGTTGGTGCTGGACTATCGGGAGTGCTGGACCACTGGATGCTGGACAATTGGAGTTTTACTGTATTAGAAATACAAGACTCAAGCAATGTCATTTGCAGTTCATGTATCTTTCTACTATTTTGCTAGGCCGTGGTGTTTTCATTGTATATAATGTTTCATTCATTGAAAACGTGATTGGGCCTATTCTGCCTTGGCTACCACACTCTGGCAGTTACGTTCAGCAGAGCTGGAGATGTAGAGTAGAGAGGTCACTCTATTTGTTGGCTTTGGCTTCTGTAGATGCTTACTTATAAGCCTGCAATGCTGGGAGTGGGTGATTGGGAGTGGGAAGAGCTGACATTATGTATTTATCCATGGTGTAAGATAGTGTCCCTATGTATTGTGGGTGTTTCCATTTAAACTGTTGGGCCAGAGCTTGAGTTGGTATCCATTGTCACAGCTGCACTGGCTTCATTCGAACAATGACAATTTACACCAGTTGAGGATCTGCCCCCCTTCTCTTTAGTGCAGGCCCATTGACCAGGGTGAAGGGGGAGAGTGGAAAGGGGGTAACTGCCTCAGGGCCTGGCGATTGGCTCCTGGATACTGCTTCCTCTGCTGTGGCAGTGGAGGTGGCAGGAGCCGTGGGCTCTTGAAATCTCTGCTGGAGCCTCACATGGCACACACTGGTGGTGCTGAGGGCTGGGAGTATGACACAGCGCGCTTTGGATGGTGCCGAAAGCTGGTTGCCCCAGCCTCTCCCCCATCACCCGAGGCCTCACCCTTTCTGGGAGCGCAGTACTGGCCTCCCTCCTTGCCCAGGGGCCTAATAAGTCTGTCCCCTCCCTCGCTTTAGTTTATCTGTAATGCCATGATAACTTTCCTCTCACATGACTGCAGGTGATGTTTCACTAGCATCACATGCCCAGTGACGTACCAGATGATCAACTAAGGTTTGGCATTCACAAATTGTCCCCTCATGACGCATTCCTCTCTCAGCTGACGCGTCAGTTATTTGACTTGGGAAGTTGATGTGGGTGAGAAGAAATTGCAGGGTCTGTTTCGCAGTGAGTAAAAGTTGCCATGTAACTGATTTTGCAGGACAAATTGGTGGCAACAGTAAATATCCTTTCTTTAAACACT